AGAATATTATTATTGTATTCTGATAGAATTGTTGTTAATTAGTTATATGTTTAATGTGCAGTTGTTACAAGTGTATCACTACAAAATATTTACCAAAAAATTTGTGATAGAAATGGCTTGAAGAATGGCTTGAAGACTTTATGGGAAAGACTCTTTGTATAAAATCATTCTCATGCAATACAATTCTAACAGAATGTGAAACTCACAAAATATCAATCTCATACAATGCTAACATATTTTGAAGTGACTTAGAGGTTAAAGATACACAAGACATCTAAAAACAAAACAATAAAGTGGATGAGGATTTTTTCAAGAACGCCGATATTTTTTTTGCAAGAGATTTCAAGAATTAATGTAGTTTATGTTCATAGTGAATTCTTTAAGAACGAATGTAATTACTTATTCTAAACTATTAAACTTGGTCTTATATAAAATTTGTATTAATTAAAAATTATTGGTCTTGATAATATGTGTTTAAAATATTATGTTCATAGTTGTATAACATTCTGATAGAATTACAAAATATCATTTTAACAAAAGAACATTCTGACAGAACAAAATCAGTTTGTGTTTATAAATTACGTTTGAAATTGAATTAATTTGAAAAAAAACAAAAAAAAAAAACTCAACTTTTTTAAATCAAAATCATTAATTATCTTATAAATCTTGATTTTCCTTTTTTAAATTTGTCTCATTTGACTAAAATGCCCTTATACTGAAATTTGTGTGATTATATGGTACATGTTACCCTATTATAATATCATAGACCCTCAGATCATGGTTAATCTATTCAAGATAATTACGTATTTACAAAATACCGTCTCAATTCATCCTATTTCATCAGATTCGGGATGTGATATGGTTCCGAAGGATGAACCGGATATGGACAGTCCAACAAGATTTCATTTGACCTTTTATTCTATTCTATCTGATGGTCCAGATCTGTGCATTCTGGCACACAATAGTTAGTAGAAACAAAATAATCTAAGCATATATATATATATATATATATATATATATATATATATATATATATATATATATATATATATATATATATATGGTTAAGTTCAAATGAGAACATTATTTAATGTGCATACGTGAGAACACTACTTTATATTACCATTATATTGTGAATTTAATATGTATAGTATTGTAGTAATTATAATATGAATATATTTAATTTTATATTGCTATTCTATTATAAAAATTATATATATATATATATATATATATATATATATATATATATATATATATATATATATATATATATATATATATAGTAATTTAGTAAATTTTAATGTGAATGTTAAATATGTGATTGTTCATATATTCGGTGATGATTAATATCATAAAGTTGTACATACAAAATTTTAATGCGAATATTAATGTATGATTATTCGTATATTTGTTGATGAATAATATCATATCATTGTATATACAAAATTCAAAGTAGAATACTAACATAAAGTAGTGTTCTCACGTTCTTAAATTAAATAGTGTTCTTATTTGAACTTAACCCTATATATATATATATATATATATATATATATATATATATATATATATATATATATATATATATATATATATATATATATATATATATATAATTTTCTTTCTATATAATTTTCTTACAACATACGGATATTTGATTAGTTAATTTTTAAATTTTCAAAATAAAACATGTCGACAACGAGCCCCTTATTCTCCCTAAATTCATTATGTAAGTCGCATGTGTTGATAGTTGTGGTTGAGAATAATGGCCCTTTCTTCGTTAAATGCATGTCTTCATATCAGCAGCTAATTTCTCGATCCCCACCTCCATAAAACCTCCATCGGTTACTATCCTGCTGTATTATCATATTATATTATATAGTTATTTTTTTAATAATTGTTTGAAATAATAATAAAAATTATTAATTTAAAATGTTTTTATAAGAAACTAGGTTTAAGACCCATTTATTATATAGATTAATTAAAAAAATTAAATATAAAAGTTTAAATATTTAAGACCTTTATATTTATAAGAAAATAAGAAAAATAATGAATTATTTTTTCATCTTCTAAATTTAAATAAATAAACAAAATAAACTAATAAGCTTTAATTTGGTTATTTTGAAATAAGTCGGTAAGTCCATTAACCATCAACAATTAAGAATATCTAAAACATACTTCAAATCGATTGCGGTATTTGTCATGTTTTCCTTAGCTCTTGCAGAAATTTGATTCAATGGAGCATTAGAGTTAGGGATGAGCATATGGACCGGGGAACCGGCCGGAACCGGTATCGGAACCGGACCCGAAACCTAATGGAACTGATCGGGTCGGGACCGGAACGTTATTTTTGTAGATTTTTTGAACCGGGAACTGGTAGGAACCGGAACTGATATAACCGGAACCGTACTATGCTATTTTTCAAGGATCGGTTTCTACATTTGAAGATACGACAAGAACCGGTAGGAACCACAAACCGGTAGAACCGGAACCAGTAGAACCGCCGGGCCGGTTCGGTTCTTGATTTTGGCCGAAGCCGGTTCCTGGGTCAGGTCTGGTTCGGGCTACTTCCGGTCGGTTCTGTCCTTTTGCTCATCCCTAATTAGAGTATATTTGAAATACACTTCAAAGGAATTGAAGTATCTGAATTGTTTTCCTTAGCTCTTGCAAGAATTGAATTCAATGAAGCAGTAGAGTTTAAATGAATATCTTGCAAGAATAACATGCAATTCTTCATAGTCTCGTTCTCTTTTGTTGTATACCACTCCCCATTCTTTTCTTTCAATAAAACCAACATTAAAATACTCCAAATCATAATGTGGTGGAGAGGGCTTTAGAATTGGTTTTCTTCTTAGAATAGCAACAATATCCACATCCATCTTTACGACTTCAAGAATATATGCTCGTGTCATACTTCTCAAATGAATATAAATTGGTTCGTATTTTATAGTGTCCTTGGGAACAATATTAAGCAAAGAAATACAATTGTACAGATTTATAAAAGGAATATTTGCCAACGTAAACTCATGGACTTTGTGATTTTGACATCTGAAGGCTTTAAATTAATGTTTCCAAAATAATCAACAATTATAGGCTTTCCAACCTTTAGTTCTACAATCCTCTTCAAATTCCAGGATTCATTTTTTTTTTTGGCTTTGAGTATTTCAAATAAAATTTGAATAGCTTCTTGTTTGTAGCAACGTTTGCGATTGGAAGTTTCACGATATTTTTACAACATCTGAATTGAAATACTTTTGCAGTAATCAAAAAGTCCAATTGACACTTCATGTCATTCTCAATAGAAAAAAAGTTTTAGGATCTAAATAATAAAAGTTTTTATTGTTAATTTCTTCTTTTTAATTCGATCAACAATCCATTATTGAAAGATGGCGTTCTTAGAGGCAATAACATATTTAAAAATTGTCTACTCAACTTCTTCAGCCTCGAACTTTGCTTTTAAAGCATTCAAAGCCTCAAGCTCCTCATCGCGCTTCGTTTGTTCCTTTCAATCTTTTTCAGATAAAATTGGATTAAGATTAGGATCTTCATTCAAAACAATATTGACTTTTCTTTTTCCTGATCCAGAAGCTACATTACCGTTCCATCCAGACTTCATTTCCTTAATGTTTTTCAAACTTTCTTACATGGGTTTCTTTTCAAGGACAATCTTTTTAGCATTTTTCATTTTACTTATTTTGCCAGTTTTGTAAGGATTATTCAAATTGACCTCTGTAACTTCATCTTTATTCACTTCTTCATCTCCCCTTGTTGTGTAGCAGCCCTGCTACTCGTAACATTCAAAATACCATTATGTTTTGAGAGAACAAAGGTCAATTTCGCATCCATAGGCCGCAAAATGTAATAAACATACAAAGGATCTATGTTTTCAACAACTTGAACAAGATGCTGATTGATCGCAAAATTCCATCCTTTCACTAAAATAAGTTGTTCATTCATCTTCCCAAGCTCAATAGTTGCATTCTTCAATTGTTCTTCGAGTACCATCACCTTGTGGGTAGAGTCAACAAGTGCATCCATAATTTTGTTCTCATGAGATAGATTATTTTCCAAAGTACAAAATAGAATTTGAAGCAGATGTGTGATGATCTACATTTTCCTTTTGAAGACCAAACCGAATACTGGAAAGTGCTTCTTTATCAGTAGGTAGAGATAAACGATATAATTCAATCATCTTATTAACTTTAGATACATTTTTATCAGAAGAAGTTTAAAAATCAGACAAGAACATGGTCATGTTGGAAGACATTTCCTTCACTTCAGAAACAAATTTATCAACTTTCTCACTTGCTTCTAAAATATTCTTAGTTCACTTTTCAACTAACTTCTTGTGATCTTCAAAAGTATTTGCATTGGATTTAGTTAACATATCTATAGCTGCTTGATAAGATGTAACCCTCTTTCCCGAGTTAGTGGTTGAGAAATAATTAGTATGCAAAAGAATATGATCCAACTTTTTGTTTAACTCACGATATTCAACACAAGTAATCAGAGAAATTAAATCAATATCAACTAGAAACTTGAAAGTTGGAATGGATAAATCATCAATTGCTTCAGGTTCATCACTAATAAGAAAATCCGCATTAGAACGAGATGTCGATTCATAAATAGATTTAAGAAAAGGTGGTATAGTGGTCTTAATCGGATCAAAACTGGTTTTCAAAGGAGGATGTGGAGGGGTTTGAGAAAGATTAATAAATGAATCATTTAATACTTGCTCAAAAAACATGACTTAGGTGAAGTCAAAACATATGAAGATCGTTAAGTAGATACCTTTTGAGTTTTAGTTGTTGCAATCGGTTTAGAAATCTTTGGTGGAACATTTGAAGTATATGCAATATCTTCTTCGTTAAACAAAACATCATCACCTTGAACATCACTTTGAACTCTATCCTCTGTTTCCTCATCACCATAGTTGGTTTAGGCTTGGATTTCCTTTATTGCTTGGGTTTCTTTGAAATAGTCCCATCTACTTTCGCTTTTCACTTTCCTCCTCTTTTTGGAATATCGAAAACATCAAGAATTTCTTCTAATGAAGCATGAATTTCACGAATACCAAAAATAGAGATTTCCATGTATTCAGGCATTATAGCATTATCAAGAGGAACCCTAACTAACATCATTGCTGGAATTGAACCAATAGCAGTGAAATTATTTAGATCAGAAGTCACAAAAGTAGTTGTCTGCATCTTGGGAATCTCATCAATTAGAGCATCAGTCATCTATTGAACCTTGCAATGATTTAGAGCATGTCGAACAACAATTGACCAAAATCGAGCACAAGAAATTTCTGAATTCTTTGTGTTTGAGCCAAACTTTAAGCAAATTGAGTCCAAATAACTGTTCCATAATCAACATTCTTACCAATAAAAAGACCATAGATCAAGGCACAGAAGAATTTACTAGCACTATCAAAGCATGTGACCCTCTTAGATAAACACTTAAACAAAATTATGAATAAATCATTCCATATTGGAGGTAAAGCAGATTTATTACACTTCAATCCCATTTGATGAAAAGCAACAATGATATTGGAAATAGAAACTAAATACCGATGAATTGTGTCGTCTGAAGAAGAAAGAAATAACAATTTCCAGAAATTTACTTTTGAAATTGAAGTTCAATGAACATGAACATCAAAACTCATTACCTCTTGAGCGTTGTTATGAATTGTAGTGAAATATGCTTGGGAAAGATGAACATTTTCGAAGATCGTCAAAACCTTCATCATTGGTGAATGATGCAGGAATTCGATCAAAGGTCAAATTGTGGGGTTATACTTCAAAGCATCCAAGTCAGCAGTTAGGTTATGATTTACCTTGATTTTTAGCATAACAGTTGATGCAGATTGATCTGTGAAAGAGATTTGCTCAGAAGACGCCATTTGTAGTAGGGAAAGGCTGGTAGAAAATCGACTAACAACAAATAAACTTTGAGTATTTTGTGGAATATTGGTGAGCCAAAAGAGTAAAATACAAAACTCATGAGCTTTATATAGTATTGGATACCCAAAAGGTTTATTTTTGAATTTCAACCGGTGTCCATAAGTGGTGATAGAAAATTGTCGTTCATGTATTAAATGCATGTAACCTCCCACATTAGCCAAAAATTCCCATGCTTATCATACCAAAATCTATGGTCCAATTAAAATATGCCAGCTCATCATTAGACCATCAAACATGCGCCATGATTTTCAATTTGCTTTAAATGAAACTTACCATTTTGGTTTGTAGTAGTTTCTCAATCACTAAGCTACCCTTTAGCTTTGTGTAATCCAAAATAAAATCCATTGGAACTACGACCATGATTAATTTCTAAATTAAAGTAAGATATCAGAACCGAAACTAGAAGTACTAAAATCACAAAGATTTTTGTGCAAGAGTGTGCCAAAGAAAAATAATTAAGCAAATAAAATTGTGAAGGATTTGTGATACACAAAAAAATTAATATGAAAGCCATATGATCCAGGGAAAAGATTTTCTTCCTTCATAGTCAAGAGAGACTAAGATGTGCTTGTGTGGCTTTCCATTGAAGTGCGATCGTTAACTTGTTAAGAAGTTACGAAAGGAATCTTTTCACAAAGCAAATAGGTAGACTCGTTTCCGATCGTAGATGCAACTTAAAACAAGTGTAGAGATACTCAAAGTAAACCTTGATTGATCAATGTATCCAAACTCAAGTAATCAAAATAAATTTAGCTAGGAAATTGTAACACCGAGATAATAATATGTTCAGACTAAAATATCATAACTTGAAATAGAAAATCCAGATCTATAGGGAAGAATTGATCTACACAATTTTATTAAGATTACATAGAAGAAAATTATGAGATTTGAACATAGAAGAAATATTGTCAAATCATTGGTTAAAATCTAGAACAACAAGTTGTTCACCATCAAATCCTTTAGTGGTACTGGTACTTGGGTCTCACTCTTCATCATGGTGATAACATTGAAGAGATCATAGACACAAATTCATTGCATACCTAGATTCCAGTTGCTTATGACTAGAGATGTCTCAGGATATGCGTCATTGTGTGTGCAAAGTGAAAGAATTATAAGATATCAAGAGGGAAACGATGTTTTCACACTCTCATGATGACATTGAGAATGATCATAAAAATAATTTTTGAGAAACGATAACTCCAAGATTGTACAATCTCGAAAGATCAAGGGTTAATAAAAAAAATATCGATGAGAAAACCATCAATTTATTAAGGCTTAGAAAAGGAAACATATGTTTAGGTTTTTTATATACCTAAGACATCATCAGTTTCCAAAATTGGTTAAAAGAAACATACTACCTCTTCCATGAAAAATCACCAAGAAGATATTTCTAAACTCCGAAAAGAGTAGAGAAAGGTAGCTTAATGACTATTGTTAATACAACCTATTGGGAAGAAATTTTTAGTAGAAAATTTTCATTAAGGATTTTTGCAAGCAAATAGTATTTGAGGCTTCGGACAATATGTTGTAGCATGCCTCATGAGGATACTTAACTAATCAATGAATGCAGAATATTATCTAATCCCCACTAAGATTCACTTGTGCATACTTAGATAAAACATGTGTAATAATGAATTAACTAACGATTATACCAAAATAAAGAAATAAATAAAATATTTTTGGATTTTTGAAATTTATGAAATTCTAAAGACAAAAATAAAGAAAATATTTTTGGATTTTTGAAATTTTTTAGATTTAAATAGAAAATACAAAAAATAAAGGAAAGAATAGTTACCTAGTGCACAGGCCTACGAGCAATCGTACCCTCTTGCAACTTAAAAGTAACTACAAAATGAAATTTTTTCGATTGATTCTGATGATCGTAACCAGTCGCAAGTGAACAATGAAATTCTGTTAGCTTCCGAAGATCATAACAATTTGAAGATGAATAGTATCATTCCGATAGCTTCTGAAGATCGAAACTAATCGAAAGTGAATAGTAATATTGTTCACAAGTACAAAGATGATTTCAGAACTAAATTAACCTCTATAATTCCAAGCCCTTGTAAGATTCCATTAAATGTAGCTTCCATTAAAGCTTTTGTGAAAATATCCGCCAATTGATATGTTGATCTAACGAAATGAATTTGAACATTTCCATCTTCAACATGATCTTTAATGAAGTGATGACTTAATGCAATATGTTTCATCTTTGAATGTTGTACGGAATTATGACATATTCTTATTTCACTTTCTGAATCATAATACAATGGAAATTTTTAATGCTTATCCCATAATCTCATAGTTGACCTGGAATCCAAATAATCTGCGAAGTGTAACAAGTAGGAGCGAAATATTCAGTTTTAGCAGTTGATAAAGATACACAAGTCTGTTTTTGTGATTTCTAACTGACAAGTTTCCCATCAAGAAATTGACATCCGTCAGTCGTGCTTTTTTGATCAAGACCACAACCTCCTAAATCAACACCTAAATTAGCCTTCAAAAAGAAACCAGAATTAAATAAATATCACAAACAAAGAGAAGTTGTTTTACAAAGATATTTGAAGATATTTTTGACTGTGATCATGTAAGGATCGCGAGGATTAGCTTGAAAACGAGTATAATAGTATACAACAAACATGATATCTGGCATGCTAGATGTGAGATCTAATAATGAGCCAATCATTTGTTTGTCCAATGTGAGATTTGCCGCCAGTTTATTAAGAGAATGTGTGAGCTTTGTTCCGAACGCCATAGGCACCTTAACCTTTTAATAACCATTCATTTCATATTTTGTTAATAAAGTCTTCGTGAAAGCTTCGTGATTAATGAATAAGCCCTCTTTGCTCTGTTTTATATTTAATGAAAGAAAGAAATTAATGGACCCATCGAACTCATTCAAACTAAGTTTCCATCAATTTTCAGAATGTATTAGCCATCTGAGGATTAATGGATCCGAAAATGATATCATCAACACAAATTTGAACAATCATAAGATGTTCACCTTCCTTCTTTTGAAAGAAAGTGGGGTCAACAGACCCTTTTTTAAACTTGGATTGTTTAAGGAATTAAGTCTGAGTTTCATACCATGTACGAAGAGCTTGTTTTAAACCATAAACAACCTTATCAGGAATATAACAAGGATCTAGAGTTTTTTTTGTTTACAAATCCTGGTGGTTTTTCAACGTATACAGTCCCTTCAAGTTTTCCATTGAGAAATGCGCACTTCACATCCATCTGAAAAACTTCAAAGTTTTTGTGAGCTACATATGCTAGAAAAATAAGAAGTGATTCCGAACGAGCTACAAGTGCAAAATGTTTGTTCATAATCTATTCCTTCTTCTAGAAAATGTCCTTTGACTAGAAACGTGCTTTGTTTCATACCACATTGCCTTCTTTATCCATCTATTGTATATACACCCACTTAATACAAACATTTGATGCATTTTTCGGTGTAGGAATCAATCTCCAAACTTTGTTTTGTTTCAAACTCATGCATATCATCTTGCATTGCTTTAACTACGAGACGTGTTTTGTTTCTCCTTTTATTGAGCTTGAGTCAAATCTCCAGAGAAAGTATTGTTGGGTTTTGAGCACTATAACATCCCTATGGTACACATACAACCCTAATGATTTGGATCTAAGTTTTCTCTAGTTATACATGCAATATTCCTTTTCCAAAGCATGTAGCCTAACTAGCATCCAAATTTGATATTATAATCATAAAAACTAGTTAGATGATTACCTCTTGTCGTAGCTTGTAGAAGTTGGAATTTCAAGAGCTTAGCACCTTAAGTGTGATGCCTCAAATGTTTCACAAAACACCACCAACAATTGGATGACAATGAGAGAGAGCTTGGAACACCAAATATCGGCTACATCCTCATAGAATACTCTTGGTGTTGATTTTGGAGCTAAGGGGTTACACTTATAGTGTGGAATTCCTAGGGTTTCAACTTGTAAATCCTGATTCATTTCCTTAGGCTTTTAATCCAATAACTTATTTGATAGCCTTATGGACTAACACTTCATGGACTCTCACATAAACTTAGTCCATCACTAATCAATCATGAATCATTGACCCAAACTATATGTACCACTGATTTACATAAACAGTCCCCGTTAATTTAGTTAGTCTCTTTTGATCACTGAATTAATTCTTGATAGATACTAATTAAATAATATGATTTATCAATTAATATTTTATAGTTATAATATATTAATAAATCACAAATAACCTTTTTCTCAAATATCCATCCTATCAAAATGTTTTGGTGAATGCAACCCAAAATGGAAAATGCTACTATCGGGTCAAGTACATACCAATTATATTTATGGGCTTAGACACCTAATCCAACAATATCCTACTTGTATAAGTATAATAACTATAACAATGAATGTAACTTCAAAATCCGATTAGAAATTGTAGCTCTTAAACCTGTTGTCGAACTTTGATCTTATCAGCAACGCGTCCTTTAGAAAAAGGGATCATATATTCCTCCATCATACAAGATATCACATGGACTGAGATGTGGATTTATAATCATTCTCTCTGTCTTTGTGTTGTGTCCCGATCTCCGATTTATGACGAATGATTATAACTAAACACATCGACTTAGTCTAGTCTTTCCCAAGCACTTAGGGTGTCATCACTAAATAATCGAGGCACCCACATATATCGCTTTTATCCCTCTTAGGGTAAAAGGAATAGATAAACTTCGACTCATATGCTTGCTCTATTTACTCATCCAAATCACACACAACAATATGTTTTATAACACCAAGTTATTGGTGCGTTTACATATCATCAATGTGCAACCGACTTGTAAACTGTGACTCGTATGTCTATGTTTCAAGAATATCAAATATTATCATCTCACAATCACTCGTGATATAATCCATGAAGTGATTTACGTGAGCGTGGGTTTAATCCAACACT